CACAAGTTTACGTCAAGAAAAGGTAAAAGAATTAAATAGAACAGCACAAATAAGGGGGTTCATGGATTTTTAAAAACAGTCACTTGGAAACATATTATCTTCCTTCATCCCTCACTGTATTCCCCAAATATTCAATGCTCCTGCCATAATTTATTGTTACTATAACATGCCAAATTTATTTATGTCTTTATGCCTTATTAATGCAGGTGCCTTTTCTGCTTGGAATATCCTTCAATTTTTTTGTTGTTGTTGTTATTGCTCATTTAGATTTATTTAACTTATGCTTTTGGGCCCAGCTGAAATGTTATACTACCCCCTGGGCAGAATAAATCATTATCCCCTTTTGCCTTCCCATAGCACTTTTGTCTATTATTTCTTTATAGCTTGCCACTTACTTTTCCTTCTACTACAATTATTTATTTTCATATCCAAGTCCATTAGGCTGAGTGCTATTCAATGGCAGAAATACATATAATAGGTATATGTGTTTCTCTGACACTTTTCCAAAATCTACCCCAGTACTCACAATGCCTACTGTGTTTGTCCATTAAGGGACAATGATCTTTCATCTTCCTATTTTGATTCAAATATTTATGTACATTTATGTTAACTTGTAATAGTTCTGTGTTTAACTATTTTACTCACATTAACATAAACTGTGTACTAAGGCTTGTTGGATTAAGTAGCACTTAAAGAATATAAAACTAAGAATGTAAAGATTATTTTGCCACAATGGCATATAAAATTTAAAACTTGATTTCTAATTTGCCAAGTTGACTCACTTTAAACATATAAACTATGCACTACCTGTCAAGATAAATTATGTAATATTGTCATTTTAGGAGAACTTTATAAACGCGGTATGATAGGTATTCCTCATAAATCTGCTAAACCATTCTATTCTTTGAGATTATTTTAAACACAAAAACCTAAACTATTTTTAGATGAATGACTCTCTTTTGACTCTTAGACACTATAAGCACTTAAAACTAGGGTGTCAGTAATAATTTCTATATGTTTAATAAATGCAAGACTACTCCATATACGAACACAGTATTACTTGAGAAAAAAGGTCTCTAAAATGTACTGATTGATAAGAGATTCATATATGTGTTTTTAGAAATTGTTGCTTTAATATCTTTCTAGGGAGATTATCTTTTCTCAGAAATAATTTTAAGTATAACATCATAATTTTTGTTTCTAAATCTAAAACTCACTCTTCAAGATTCTGTTATTTGCAACAGACACATAAAAGTGCCATCAAGTGCCTTATGGCATATTTATATTGTAGCACCATCTACTCTAGTCAAATGTGCCCACCAAAATGTCACAAATAACAGTATTTTTTTCTCTGCTGAGATTTCCAAGTTCGTGTTCAAATGGATACAGTCATACCAGTCTGTCACCATATATTCCACACCATCTCCACCACTATGTGTCAAATCTCATGTCCTAATCTGCTCTTCGTCTTTCCCCATCACTATTTTTATTTTAAAAAAATCTACCCTGATACCCCAGATCCAATGATATTTCTACCATGAACATATAATGTTACAAAGTTAACATTTCAGGATGAGCTAGAGAACAAAAGAAAAGGTTGAGAAAAATCAATCAAATCCATAAACCTAAGGGTATGTTTTGTACTGCAAAGTAACATTTCAAAGGATAAGTCAACTGAAATGTTTAAGAAAAATTTAACAGTTCAGATAGAGTCATTTTAACTACTGTAAATTAGGTTAGACTGAAAAAGAAAGATACTAAATAGGATTCATAAAAAATTATGGTAAAGTATATCATCTGACTAAAGCTTATTGAGCTATAATATACAAATTCACTCAGTTCAGCAATACAGGGGCATTTAAAATTCCCTTTACCAGTGCAACATAATTTTGAAATCTTAATTTGTTTTTATTTATTTTTTCTGCTATGGTTTCAATAGTGCCATAAGAATTTTAAAAGCAGAATCTATTTTAGATCTTCAGGGTCAATGCCTTCTTAGTTAAAAAAAAATTACAAATCAACTCAGCAGTAATTTTTCATTCTATTTTCACTTAGCTAAAAATGACAACCCAAAGCATTTCAACTATCCACCCTTTTTGTGATGTGTGTGTACATTTCAAAGAAAAAAATCTGGGACTAAAGTCATTACAAAAGTAGAACTGGAAAGTCAAGTCATATTTATTTATACTAGAAATATTTTACTATTATTTCTTCAGGCAACAAAAGGTATCCCACTGGATCTGTTTTCCCATCTCTTCTCCATTTTGTTCTTTTCTCCCAGTTTTAGTCTCTTCCCTTATTTCCTTATGCATCCCAGACTCACTTTATTCTGTGCCTCTTAGCCCGTCCTTTGCCTTGCATCCTACTTCAATCCTTCAACCTACCCTCCCCAGACAACTAAGCACCGATGGAGAATAATCACACTGGTTGTACAGATCTGTTCAACAAAAACACAAATTGATAATTTCATCTCTGTCCCCTGACATATTTATCTATCACTGATTTATCTTCAGTGAGAACCCTCTTTATTCACTTTCATGGCCTATTAAAAACTTTTGCCACTTTCCTTAATTACGTAGGCCCCAACGGCCTACTCAATTCTCAGCAGATGACCTGAACTTACACTTCACAGCAAACTGAGACAATGAGATACAAATGACAACTTCCTGTCCACTCTCACTAAGAAATTACTATCTGAATCCATATCCTTGCTTCTTTCCTTACAACTTAGAGAAGGAGTACCCTTCGTTCTATCTAAAGCATCCCATCTTGGATGTTCTTAATACCATCTCCTCTAGAACTGGATATTGTTCCATCATTCATCCTTTCTGATATTTTTCAGCTTCTCCTGTTCATTAGTTCCATCCCATCCTCCCTGAAGTCTCTCCTAATCTATAAAAAACAAAGCAAAACAAAAGAGCTAAACAAAAATTTCCATGACCCTGCATGCCTTCTTCAGTTTCTGCCTAATCTCTCTCAATCTCTATGAAGAATTTCCATGAAGACTAATAATATAAACTCAGTCACTGATTTATACTCGTTTTTATTCAATTAGATTTCTCTTCATCAACATTTTTTTTTCAGTCCTCTCCTCTGTACCTTCTTTACCCACTTGCCCTTAGCTAACACTTTTTCTGAGGTCCAGTCTCTGTGCTCCTCCCACTCTCTTCCCTCTCAGTTCCTTGCATATATATTCAACTGCCTATGAAACCTCCACCTGAATGTCCTGGAGATATCTCAGGTCAACTCATCATTTCTTAAAATTCTCTCTAATCTTAGTAAGTATTCTTATCTCAGTTTGGTGATACCAAAATTTACCAAACTAGTCAGTAACTGGAGGGCATTCTAGAATCTTTGTGTTCCTTGAAATTGCTTTGGATCCAAACAATCAGAAATTCTCTCAATTCACCCCTGAATTTCTTTCTTCATTTCATGTGCTCATGACCACTGCTTAATTCAGGCTTCCACCATCTCTCATGGATTACTGTAACAGCTCCTTCTGGCTATGCCTCCCATCTGATTTCTATGCTTTGGTCTCAAATCCCGGCTCTATATAACATATAACTGTGATAATTAAGTTGTTGGGACAATAAACCAGATCACAACTTCTATTTTCTTATTTAGAACTCTTCACTGAAAAAACAAAAAAAAACAAAAACTCTTCATTGACACTTTACTTTCCAAAACATTTTGTGATTTGACTCCTAACTCTTCAATTTCATTTCCTCCCTCCCTCCAAATACAAAACAATAACAATGTTTTAAATTCTTTTAAACACATACCCATAATATAGTTTAAGACAATTTTATTTGTGCATTTTGTTCCTCTGCCCAGGACAACTTCCCTTGATGCACACAGGAGACAAATTCTTCTTTAACCTTGAAAGGCAGTTCTGGTGTCACTTTTCCAAAAGCCTTTCTTTTGACTACCACTGCACAATGATCTCCTCCAGGTAAAAGTAATTACTTCCTCCTCTGGGCTATCCCAGTATTCTATGCTTAGTCTTCCTATTACTCCATCACAATCTTTAATTGACCCTACTAAAAAACTCAGAATTTTTCTTTTTATAATGGTACCCATGAGTGATTTATGAAGAAATTTACTCCATCTGACATATTACTTTACCCTGATATAAAAGCATTTTGAAGATAAGAGTAGAAAAAAAATTGCAGGGGTGTCTGGGGGGCTCAGTCAGTTAAACGTCTGCCTTTGGCTCAGGTCATGATCCCAGGGTCCTGGGATCGAGTGGGCTTCCTGTTCAGTGGGGAGCCTGCTTCTACCTTTCCCTCTGCAGCTCCCTCTGCTGCTCCCCCGCTTGTGCTCTCTGTCAAATAAATAAAATCTTAAAAAAAAAAAGAAAAAGAAGAAAAGAAATCGTAAATTCTGATAGAATGAATCTGGAAACCTTTATCAGGACAGAATAATATTCAAAAGAAAAAAATCACCTTAATGAACAGAAAGAAGAAAAAAAATTCTCTAAAAAAAGAGGTTAAAAGCATAGGATCACAGAATTTTTCTCAGAATACACATAAAATACTTATCGTAGTGCCTGGAACACAATTATATGTTCTTAAAAGTGAACTGCTATTAACATTATTATTATTAAGTAAAATAACTAGATGTGTATGAATGAAAAGTTCTAAGTCATAGGTACTTTTGGTCTTGGTCCTAAGAATTAGAGATTCCACCAAAACTACCTTGAGATTTCAAGGAAAAAGAAAGTCATTTAAGAGTGATTTCTTATATTAGTAAATGTAATAAATAAGAACTACCTTTTGTTACTTGATAAGTAACTAATTTATAATGGTCCTTTCCCTAATGGAAATCAATATATCACCAAGAAATTCTATTGAAAAGACTTACCAATTTCTTCCTGCTAAAAGTTCCTTTATTACCATATATTAAAACAGATGCATCAAATGATTAACACAGCAAAATGCAAGCCAACTCTTTTCTCACAGAGTTATAAATTCTAAGATAGTTGATAAGAGCTGCCTTACCTTCAGGGGCATCGGCATCACATCTCTTTGGCACAGGGAAGGCTGAATTGTTTTTATGGTCATCATAAGTTATATTGCTCTAAAAGACAAAAATATGGTTAAAATGTAAGTATATTAATATTTGGATCAAAAAGTAATCATATTTTATACTCTGTTTTCTATTAAACTACATTTAGCTAATATTCTTATACAAAATTACAATTAGAAGAGAAAGATTTATGGTAAATTTTAACATTAGGGCTTTTTTGCAACAATTTTAGGTCCTGGACTAAACAACAGAACAACTTCCCAGGGAAAAAGCCTACTTATTATTCCACTGTGAAACCAGAAAATATGTTTTGTCCATGCAAATGCATGATGTCACTTCATTTATTCATAGAAAAAAGTTTAATAAACATGACCTAGTGAACTAGGTGGACACAATAAGGCAAGAAGAAAATAAAAAGATATAAGAAGTAGAAAATAGGATTCAGGTGATCTAGTACTGTGTTTCCCAAACTCAGGTTACTCATGTACCTCTATTATAGTGTGTGTCTTATATTTGTTCCACTTACATTATTACTTAGTATTTGTCAATGAACTAATTTTTCAACCATTGGTAATATTATGTATGGTACTGTTGGAAGGTTTGATGTGTTTGTTAAATTTTTGTTACTAATTACATGTTAAAGTAAAGAAAGAATGAAGGAATACAGTATAAAAAAGGGGTGATCTGGGCAGACTAGATTAGCAATCAAAGACTCCATTAAAGCAAAGCTTGAACTAGAACCTGAAACACATTTGCATTATTAAGTAGAGCAAGAGGTATTTTAGGGAAAGGAAACAAACTACACAAAGGTTGAATCAGATATGGTCAAAATATTTTAAACTGTCAAAAAACTCAAACTAGCTGTCCAGTTACAAGCAGGAGCCACAGCTGGCTTCTGAAAGATCAATGTAAAGAAAGAGTATAACAAGTAATACCCATCATGTTGAAAGAAAGCTCAGATACCCATAAATAAAATTTTGGGAGTGGGGTTTCCTTTTTTTAATTTAAATTCAATTAATTAACATATACTGTATTAGTTTCAGAGGCAGCGTTCAGTGATTCATCAGTTGCATAGAACACCCAGTGCTCATTACCTCATGCGCCCTCCTCCTTCATGCCCATCACCCAGTTACCCCACCATCTCACCCACCTCCCCTCCAGAGACCCTCAGTTTGTTTCCTATGCTTAAGAGTCTCTTATGGTTTGTCTCCCTCTCTGATTTCATCTTGTTTTATTTTTCCCAGTTTTGCTTCTTTTACTAACCAGAATCATGCTGTATTGTTCTTTGATGTGCCTGTTGGAGATGTTCTCAGCCTAGCACACTCCTTTTATCCATTCCATATTCCACAGAATTAGTGTCACTGTTTGGGTTGCTTCATTCTGCTGTTGTAATTATGCCCACTTTTGTGCACAAACTTGAGCACAGGGGCTGGAATTTGAGGGGAAGAGTGCCAGTTTGAGCCCTTGGCAATCTGAGCTGAAGGCGTGTTGACTTGGCATTGAGCAGGTGGCAGGCCACGCATGCTGACTCGGGCAAGAGGGCGGCTGGACTGTGAATTTGGGACCCACAGGCCGATGGCACCGTGTGTGACAGGGACGTGGCTGGTTTTGCTTTTAACTTTTATTTTTCTGAGAAACTCTGTCTCTCCTTCTATTCTAAATGGAAGCCTTGCTGGATAGAGTATTCTTGGCTGTAGAGTGTTTCCTTTTAGCACTTGGAATTTATCATGCTGCTCTCTTCTGGCCTGCAGAGTTTCTGCTGAAAAACCCACTGATAGCCATATGGGGTTTCCCTTGTATGTCATTGCCTTCCTTTGTAACACTACAAATAAAATATTTTTTAAGAATCTCCTGTGGAATTCACAGTACTGATGACCAGACATACTTTGCTCATCAAAACTTTTTGGGGAGCCATATTAATAAAACTACTTAAAATATTATTTTAGGGAAAATAATATGAGTTTTAACAAAGTGCTGAGATAAAGTTCAGTAGCTTAGCATCATGGGATCCATTTAAGGAACTATAATAATAAAATTCAGTGTGTTATTAAAAAAAGAACTTGTACAAAAACATAAATATGCTCAAAAATGGAGTGAAAAACCTGTTTTTGTGATATTAAACTTGATCTGATGAGCTATTATCTTATGCCAACCTTCACAAATTAAAATTTGGTTTTAAATACCACTCTCTTTAAAATATCAAAATAATGAAGTTTAAAATTTTTTACTTACCTCTATTAAGTAATTTTGGCTTCCATACATGACATATTGGGGAGCAAGACTATAAATCATGTAGCTAGTGTGAAGGACAATAAGCAGAAGTATCATGCAAAGAAATAAGAGTGCCTGGGGCCTGGTTCTACCTCTTCTAATTTTATACAGCTGGAAAGAAAAAAGTAACAATATTTCAGCAATATGCTTTAGTTTTAAGGCACTAAGTTCTGCTTGTGTGTTAGAGGTAATGAATACAGTTCAACTATTTCTTTTTCTAAAATAAATATTAAGAATTCTTAATCATTTCAAATGATTATGACAATGACAGACAATTCTTTCTCTGTAAAGCTTTTAGTTTTACATTTATGGTTATTTTAAAATCACAGCAAAGCATCTATATTCAAAGGATCCTATAAATGATCCATGAAAAACTCAAGACCTAGAGAATATATTATATGTTAGTATTCACCTGCTTCGTTTCCAGACAAATCTTCTAAACTTATTATGTAATAGCATCTGTTAGAAGTTTATAGAGCTAAGAAGAATTATGAACTACCACTAATGCTACCTAAAGATTAGAGGAGTGAGTTTAAACTACAAGTATTAGTAATATATTTGTGGTTTTACATATTACTACATAAGAACAGACATGCCATGCATTTATAAATACTCATTTCTATGAGATACTCATGACATCCTATTATACTGTTGTAAGTTCTAGTTTATCATAATTTATATTAATCTGACTGTAAATACTTTCATATATATTTATACTAAAGGGAAACTAAAATGTGATAATAAATACAATAAGCCAGAGAACTTGCTTCATTTCAATGGCAAAGCACATTTTTATTTTAGCAACTAAGAAATCACTACTCTGTTTTATTAACAGATTTTAGTACAATAGAGAGTAAAAGAACTCCAATTCTGGATAGGATGACAATATGAACACCTAAAAATTGAGATTTCCCAGTTTCTCTTACATGTAGTTGTAGCTAACAGTGATAAAATATTAAACATCAAAAGGAAAGAAGTCTGCTGTGGACTTTTGGGAAAATGTTGCTTTATTGATAGTATTTTTTTTAATGGAACATGAACAGGATAAATGAAGCTGTAGCATCCATATTACAATCCTGAGGGAGAAGCCAAGAGCATTACAGAGATGTTGGACTTGACATTTTTGAAGTACAAAGCAATGCTAGATTTTTAAAAATTTTCATAGCAAGAAATCTTTTATTAGTTCAAACCACTATTTAACTGGGTTTTCTTTTACTCACAGGTGGAAGTAATCTCTACCTGAATTATCTTCATTTTGAAAAAAAAAATTTTTTAGATTTATTTATTTATTTATTTGAAAGAGAGAGAGAGAGAGAGAGAGAGCACGTGAACAGGGGGTAGGAGCAGAAGAAGAGGGAAAAGCAGACTCCCTGCTAAGCAGGGAGCCTGATGCGGCGCTCGATCCCAGGACCTGGAGATCATGACCTGAGCTGAAGGCCGATGCTTAATCGATTGAGCCACTCAGGTGCTCCTTGAAATTCTTAATTTATCTCAAAATGAGTGTAGGAAGAAAATAACCCTTCTCCAATCATATAGCAATTTTAACTTCTAGTAGGAAGGGCCATCTATTGAGCTATAGTGTATTCATTTGTACTTCAATGTGTTTCCATGCAGCCAAACACTAAAGAAAATAATGTAACTTCTAAACCAGGGTTTCTCAACCTTGGCACTATTGACATTTTGGGCTGGTTAAGTCTTTGTTATGGGAGGCTGCTCTGTGCAATCCAGAATGTTTAGCAGAATCTCTGGTCTCTACCCACTAGACACCAATAGCACCCACTAATTTTTTGGGTTGTTATTGTTTTACTGTGGAAGGAGCCAAGATGCCCTTCAACAGATGAATGGATTAAGACGTAGTACACATATACAATGGACTATTACTCAGCCATGAGAAAGGATGAATACCCACCATTTGCATCGACATGGATAGAACTGGATGGGATTATGCTAAGTGAAATAAGTCAATCACCCACTAGTTTTAACAACTGAAAATATCTCCAGACACAGCCAAATGTATGCAAGAGGCAAACTTGTCCATTTAAAAACCACCACTTAGGCAAAAAGCACCTTTATGCTAACATGAAGTGAAAAAGCTAGTACTTCGGAGCGTCTGGGTGGCTCAGTCGTTAAGTGTCTGCCTTCTGCTCAGGTCATGATCCCGGGGTCCTGGGATTGAGCCCCGCATCGGGCTCCCTGCTTGGCAGGAAGCCTGCTTCTCCCTCTTCCACTCCCCCTGCTTGTGTTCCTGCTCTTGCTCTCTCTCTCCCTCTGTTAAATAAATAAATAAATAAATAAAATAACAACAACAAAAAAGAAAAAGCTAGTGCGCTTCCTTTTAATATCAAGATATTTACAACTTTTATATTATAAATTTAAGTTAACTTGGAGATGGAGATTATGTACAAAATGATGAAAAAAATCAAAATAATATTGTTATACTTACTCTAACCCAAAAGAACCATATGCCAATATTTCGAATTCCCGCCATTGAAGTAAAAATAAAGTACATAATAATAATTGTTATAAGAACATAATCAAGAGGAAATACCTGAAAAAAAAAAATTTAATTTAATGCACAAACAAGAGGGGTCCTAGAAGTCATATAAAGTTATGAAAATGAAACTTCATTATTCATATTTGACAAATGTTTAAAATATCAGTCCTGATTTTGACAGGCTACTCTGATAATACAAAAAAAAAAAGAATCCTCCAAAAAACAATTACTAAATTGTTACAAATTGCTTAGTACCATTATCCTAAGAAAAATCCTATAACAAATTAAACTAAAATTACATTTATACATGGAATAAAAGAATTCATTAAAAATTAAAAACAGGAATTATTAGAAACGTTCATCTTAGGTATTATAATGTATCCCAAATCAAATTATGTATAAGAATTCACCTATATATCAATATAATCTTTAAAGTAATATATCAATGTGGAAGTTACATGTAAATGAAGAGCCAAATCAGCAGAGGGCACAAGCATATATTGCCAAGTATTAATAGTTTGTTAACATAATAATTTGACAGAGTGTGAGAATGTTTGCTGAAGAATAAAATGACTGATTTTTTTTTTTTTACTCACTGTTTGTAGTACAGGCAAAAGCATATTCAGTGGATTACTCAGGTTAGCTCCAAAAATTATAAAACCAGAATCTATTCCAGCTGAATGAAGGGCTTTATCCAAACTAAAACAACAACAAAAATTATAAGGAGTGAATTTATATGTTATACTAGCATATTTTCAATTAACTTAGAAAAAATATCATAAGTTAAGCATGCAGATTCAACAGAGTCAAAGAAAACCATGGGTAACAAATTAAACCTCACTTAAATATCTTACAGATACTGTTCAATTGAAATAGAACAAAGAAATACTGTCTATTATTGCACATTTTTAGTCATTCTTTGAGTTAATGCTGTAGAATACTTCAAGTAAAATAGCTAAAGATGAATATGCTACACTAATGGAATCAAGTACGGAAAATATATAACATCACAGGATGTGTGCTTTAGAAATTATGTATACTACACTTACTTTGACAGGAAGAGAGAAATTATAAACAGCAAAGCAACTAAGATGAAAAATATTCCCCAAACGATCTAAAAGTAAAAAAAAAAAATTCATTAAAATACAGTTCTAGAAGTTGATATTAAAAGCACAAAACCGTTATGCTCAATATGAATTGCAAGCATATGACAATGATCTAAATAAAATGATCTAAGATATATTTTAATTTAGTATATAATTCTAGACATTTGTCATCTAAATTTTCATTATGAGACTGACTGAAAACACATACTCAGGAGACAAAGTATTTAAAAGTCTTCATTAGTAAGTAAACAAATTAGACTCTGCTAGGTCATATAAAAGGCTTATATTCAGTTACAATGAAATATAAGCTTCAAAGATAACTGAAAAGTACATTAAGGGGCGCCTGGGTGGCTCAGTTGTTAAGCATCTGCCTTTGGCTCAGGTCATGATCCCAGGGTCCTGGGATCAAGCCACACATTGGGCTCCCTGCTCTGCGGGAAGTCTGCTTCTCCCTCTCCCACTCTCCCTGCTTGTGTTCCCTCTTTCACTGTGTCTCTCTCTGTCAAATAAATAAATAAAATCTTAAAAAAAAAATAAATTTTAAAAAGTACATTAAGACCTACACACACATACAAAAAACCAAAAGTCATGAAAGTCATCAGGTCATATAAACCTGTTATTAAAAAAGGGAACTTGGAACATTTCCCACAGAATTTTTAAACACATATACACATACACACATACGTATGTATATACATACATATATATACACATGCACATACATACATACAATTTATAGCTTTTGTCTACATGTTTTGTGTATATGTATGAGACATATATATATATATATATCACATACCATGGCCCAGAAAAGTCTGTATAACTGCTACTATTCCTGAAATATAGAGTATTAACAGCACTGAAGAAAATGTCATCTCAAACAATATTTCTGGGAAGAAATGTATTAAGCACTGTAATTAGTAGAATACATTTCCTTCTACCATATGAACTTTGTATTAGAGATAGTAGAAAACAAGCAAAAATGTTTTGGAACCTGGTGTCTAAGGAATAAAAAAGGGCTGAAACCTACGTTATAGGTTTATATAGGTTTGTAATAACCTAGGCTCTTTTTTTCCCTGACATCTTCCTTAAGTTCTAGCAACGAGTAGGCTGAAGAGTCCACAAAGTCAGAACAAAAAAAAGGAAGATTTTGATTAAGCACAGTTAAGTGTTTTTGGCCTCTCTTTGGACTAGAATTGATAGGAATAGATGGATAATATCATGTATGTGATGGTGTTTTTCATCTTATGACACATAATTGCTGAAGTTTACTTTAGAATTCTGCCAGGATAAATGAAGTAAAATAGTAACACATCATCCTACCCCACATATAAAGATGAATTTTGGAATAAATTTTAGGCTGTGTTCTAGGAAATTCTTCAGTTCTGAAAGAGTACCTCTGGAACCATTGGAAAAGAAAATTGTCAAGAGAGGACCAAAAAGGATATAGTCATTACCTGAAATAGAAAACACTGCTTGTACCAATTTTACACACTGGAATTTCACATGAGAACTCATTTATTTAAAAAGGTATCACTGCTAGTATACCTGGGTGGCTCAGTGTGTTGAGTAGCTGACTCTTGACTTCAGCTAAGTCATGATCTCTGGGTCAGGTCATGGGCTCGAGCCCCATATCAGGCTCCCTGGTCAGCATGGAATCTGCTTGTCCCTCTCCCTCCCCTTCTGCCCCCACCCCCCCACTTGTAGTCACATGCTCTCTCTTTCTAAAAGAAATAAATCTTAAAAAAAAAAAAAAGGTCTTATTGCTAAGGAAATTTGAAGTGACTCTACAGTAACAAAAGTTCATTAGTAGAAGGTATAAAGGAGCTTACACAATCTTTTTCTACTAGATTTGAGCACCTTTATTCAATACCAAGGTGAATCAGAAGACAATATAATTACACTGAGGATCTACAACTAAAACATATTATTTCCTAACAGACTGCTAATAAGAAATAGCTTGTAGCATGAGGACATATAACTGCCAGATGCCAATTAGTACAAAGACCTAACACAGAAATAGCAGAAGTTAAAATTCCCTTTCCCTGATGTCCATTTTGGGGAGAGAATACAAAAGGAAAAAAAATCTGGGACTATTTTCCCAATCTGTTAGGATGAATGACCCACAGTTAAACTGTTTAATCACAGCTACCTAATAGAATACAAAATAAATGTAAAAACTGTAACTTTTATAAAAACCAAGAAAACAACATATATAAATGAGAACTTAAATTAGCGCTTCCAGAATCTTGTCAATGATGACCACCTTGAACTGACCTAAATATTCCACTCTTAGCTATAATGTCAATTTGAAATAAAGATTAAGCTATAGAGATGACGTCAGTAAAGAGAGAGGGATAAGAGCCTCTGAAAATCCTCTCCTCCATAAAAGCAATGAAAAAACTGACATAAATTGTCACAATCAACGTTTTCAACACTAGGGAAATTTACCAAAGCCATGCAACAATCCAAGGACATTTATCCAAGAAAAATGACGGAACGTCAGTAAGAATACAGAGCATTATGGCATTTTAACTTGTTGCAGTCCCAATTGCTTCTCTCTAGTGTATTGTAGCCTTGAAAGATAGCCTGTAAAAGCCAGAAGCCTAGCAGCCACTTGAGGAAACAGAAAGGGAATACAGCTCTTTCAAAGTCTCATTCCCAGAGAACTGTTATTATTTGACTTGCTGGGTAATTCCACAGAAGATCTCACTTGCAAGGCCATCTGTTTGACAAGAACTGGCGCTCATACAATACAAAACTCTTTCTCCAGGACTGTCTGTCAAAAAATTACAGGCAACCAATAACTTATGGCCACAAGAACTGGTCAGTAACAGGCAAAAAATAAACTAACCAAAAAGATTAAATTGGAAACCTAGGAAATGAGATGTCCATAGAGGCTATGAAAAATTTCCACATACTCCTGGGAATGTAGAAGGCTCTATACGTGCTCAGGGCTGTGTGCATACTCAGCAAAGATCTGAGAAGGTTTAAACTCCCACTTCTGATTAACCTTGAGGCTCTGCAAAAGCAGGAAGTGAAGGCTAAGGCATAGTTGCAAAGTGCCTGCCTGAGTGTTGAAGTAGTATCTCAAAACACATACACTGCCCTTCAGCAAAGATTAGGAGGCTTATTGGTTTGAGATTCAATGACTTGTTCAATCATTAACTAAGCTAACCAAGCAGAGACTTCAGTGACCACATACAACAAAGAATATAGACTTCACAGAATTAGTTCACAAAAGTCACAAAACAAACAGCAAAGAACAATAACAGCAGACCTGGGGAGAAGGTGGAATCTGATCTCCAGAGTTACCACAGCATATCATTTAAAATATCCCAGGTTTTAAGAAAAAAAATTAAGAGACATGCAAAGAAACAGAACATGGTTAACACAGAGGGGGAAAAAATCAATAGGCAATGTCTTTGAGAAAACCCATTGGATTTCCAGACAAAAACTTTAAATCCAGTGTTTTAAATGTGTTCAAAGAACTAAAGAAAATCATGACCTAAGAACTAAAACAAAATATGAAAACAATGTCTCACTAAATAAGGAGAAATTATAAAAAAGAAGTGAATTGAAATTCAGGAGTTGAAATGGCCATGAATATTTCATCAGAAGGGTTAAACAGCAGATTTGAGCGGGACAGAAGGAAAAAAAAAATGATCGAACTTGAAGATAAATCAACTGAGATGATCAAGTCTGAGAAAGAGAAAGAAAAAAAAAATGAAATAAAGTGAACAGAGCCTCAGACACATGTGAAACTATGAAGCCTAAGTTCAATGGGATTCCCAGAAAAAGAGGTAAAAGGACAAAAAGAATAAGAAATAACGGGCAAAAGGATTCTAAATTTGATGAAAAATAACCTATGTATCCAAGAAATTCAACAAACTCCAGGAGGAATAAATTCAAAGACATCCACACCTAGACATGCATAAATGTAGGGAAGGGCAAATCAGAGATCTTGAAAGAAGCAAGCAGGAGAGATCATCATGTAAAACAGATTCTCAGCAAGATTAACAGCTAATTTCCTATCAGAAACCATGCAGGCCAGAAAACAGTGGTAAAACAATTCAGATAAACTTAGAAAGACACAAATTACCAAAACTGATTTTTAAAAAAAGAAAATCTGAAGAAATCTATAACAAGAAAAGTGATTGAATAAGTTATCAAAAACTTCCCACAATAAAAGCCCAAAACAAGATGACTTCACTAGTGAAATTTTACCAAAGGTTAAGAATTAACACTAATTGAGAGGCTGCTGGGAAGATGGCAGAGTAGGACGACCCTGGACTCACCTCTTGCCACATGGCTGCCTAGAGAGCACCCACATCGGCAAAAATAACCCAGAAAGCAACTGGAAAGCTGGCAGAACAGACTCTTCACAGCCCGGTATAGATAAGAGGCCACAGTGAAGCAGATCCACCCCCTCCGATCGCTCTCGGATCTTGCCAAGATCCCATCAAAGCGGTGCCATAAGTATGGCAGTGTGCGTGTCGCCCAGACAAGGGTCTAGCACCACTCCAAAGTGAGTCCTGCTCCAGGGAGAGGGAAAGATAACCACATACCAATCTGACAGTGACCCCAGCAGTGGGCTGGGGGCAGGCAGCTGGTCTGACTGCAGGCCCCACCCACCAACAAAAACTTCTCAGGGGACAACACAGGTAAAGTGCCTGCAGTTTGGTGTTACTTCATCTCTGGCAAACACCTGATCTGACTCAACTCAAGCCCAAGGCAGCCCCGGACCACCCAGACTAATACTACAGACACCAGACTGCCCACAATAGGCAGAGAGCCATCACAGGCTGGAATGAAGGCAAACACATCTCAGCCACAACAGTAGGACACCCCTGTAGCAACACACATAGGAAACACCGCCTGATGCACCATTTTCTGGTGAAAAGGAGACACTGCGCTGCAGGACCTTTTCTTCATAAAGCCACTACTTTCAAGTGCAGGAGATGTAGCTGACTTTCCTAACACAGAGAAACAGACACAACAATAGACA